CGTCATAATGCGAGGTGATAGGATGAAGATGGGACGAGGGTAAGGGAATCGCAGAAGAATTGCTTCGATATGTCATATGGAATAGTTCGGTAGGGAACGACCTACGTCGCCCACTGCCTCTCCAAATTCCGTAGACCATCCCTTAAAGAGACCCGATATTTGTACGAGCTCATGATCAAAATTTAATATGTATAGGATTCCCCTAAGTAGAAGCATCGGCGAAAGCTCGCTGATCGATATCTTTCCTGATTCCATCCACCCCCCTTCCTAGTGATGGGCTAGATCATGGTCGAGCAGATCATAGGGGTTCTGCTCGAGCATGATCTCATCGGAGTGACCTCATAATCGAATGATTGATCAAATTGGTAGACCCTGATCGAACATGCCCACTGATCTCGTATAGTCGATTATACTCGAGTCTAGCCGGCCACTGTCAAATTTTCTTCACCATCACGGTATGCTAATAGCATGCGGAAAATCCTTACTCTCAACTAATCTAAAACTTGAGTTGGTTTCGACAATCATCACAACCATCAATATTATGTATTCCCTTATACCGAAGAACTGACTAGGTGCCTGAGGACCCACCGCCTCCTATGTGAGTATGAATGGACTAGGTTCTGATTACTTATATATTGCGGATCAGCTGTTTGTCATTAATTAACCGACAGGATCCTTATGGTCGCACTCCGGAGGCGATAGCCTTCCACAACGCGTTCGGGAACGGGCAAGAAGTGTAGATGTTGTGGGATATTTTGAAGCGTACGGGCACCAACTATGGCGCCCAGCATGTCGTAGGAGACTACAAGAGCGAGGACATTTTGGGCATGAGAAGTGGGAGGTAAAGCCTGTTAAAGAATCAATAGTAGAGTGTGAGTGTGCGGCGTAGAGAGTGTTTATATAAATAGGTAATATCACATGATTACCAAGATGGATATAGGTATATGCATATATAGATAGAGTGATCGATCATGATCTGATCGTGGCCATCACTAACCAAGAACATGAGGAAATGATCAACTCAAGCAGGAGCGGGTAGGGTTCGTTCTAGTGTATTGCACAGTGCTTAATCGATCGAAGAAAACCTTCCCCATGCATTGCTAGAGGGGATTTCTCCCCATTTCTTTTGCAGGAAACATTAACGCTACTCTAATGTTAGCGCTAAAACTAAGGGGTAGGAAACCAAGCCGGAGAAAGGCCAAAGCCATAAAGCTAACTTGGTTACTATCACTCTAAGAAGTCCATTAGAAGGCCAGAAGGTGGCTAGGTTGATAGAAATGTTATGATATTGCCAACAGTATTACAGCGACAAGACCAGAGGAGGAAAAACACCGGACTCTCATCTCATTCTGCTCCCCCAAAATGGCAAGGTGTGTCGGCCGGAAACGATATTATGTTTTCCTCCGCCATTAGTACCCACGCCACTGACTTTCCTTTTCTCTCTCCTGCACCCCTGATACCATTGCCCAAAAGTTCACCCCGGTCGTGATTTATGATATCGCAAATATCTTCAGTTATGTTCCTCAACCCCCCCGGATTTCTTGCAACCCATCCGACCGCCCGCCCAGAGATTGGGTTTCGTTCCATTTTTCCCGTGTAGAACCCTTTCCGTACGAATATGGAATTGGGAGAAGGGTAATACCAGACCACTCCTCTTAAACTTCTTCTCCCATCGTACGATAATCATGGCAGTGAGAGCAAAAAAAAGGGAGAACAAATGGTGAAAATCGTTATCAATCAATCGCGAAAATCCTGCGTGTTTCATCATATCCGATGAGTGAATTACGTACAGCCACACGATCTCGAGTAGTAGCCCTCCAGATAGTCTTCGTGGAGGGAGTACAGGTGGGGGGGATCAAGTTTCGTTTACTCGACCCATACTATAGGAAATGGCCTTTTATCATGCTCGGTTCCTAGTGGGGTTCGTACCGGAAGGATGTATAGGCGGCAACACGGCCCATAACCCTGACCACAGAAGGGGAAAAGAAAAAGAGGAAAGAAAAAAAGGCCTACAACATGAAGAGAGCGAGTGAGAAACAGGAACGAAGAGTATAACTCCTAGTGGTGAGGAAAAGCAACTTGAAAGCCGAAATAAAATTCAATTGATCAAAAATGTCCGGAACCCCCCGGTTTAACCAGCCCTTTATGTTATTTAACCAATGTTACCGCGCGGTCTTGGAACCCGAGCAAGGTACAGTACCGACGGGCTGCCAATCGCTAAGTTAGGAACATTTACAGATGGCCTGGTTGGGATTTAGTTTCTCGTTTCGCTAATTCACTCCCGTAGATTGGCGATCAATCGACAAAATTTAGTGAAGCGGTGTAGGAGGTGCCGTAGTGCCATGCGGTGGAACGCGAGAGTGAGTACAGGGGCTACAGGCCTGTCATTTGTGATTATTTCCGATTTCATTTTATCCCACTCCGCTTGGTCTTCTGCCACTTCATCTTCATCATCTTTTTCCTGTTTTGCCTCCGGTATTTCTCTTTCCTGCGAGCCATAATCCAAGTTATATTCCGCAAATACCTTGCACTTTGGGGTGAAAAAACAATTGGTATGCACCCAACTTGCAAAGTCGATCGATATTATCATCACTACCGCGGGGCCGGGTGATACACGAGATGGTAAATCTGAGTGTAACTATAGGCTGTAGAGTAGGATGGAACCGAAGGAGCTCCGGGAAGACCTCCCTGGGGTGAGCCAGAGTTGTATTCAAAGACTGAAATGCTACCTCGTGGCCGCGATAAGTAGAAAAGTGGGAAAGAATGGAAAAGAAGGGAGGCTAAACCCTCTCAAAAGACAAGCGAGTAGACAAGGCAGCATTAGATTAGAGCCTGGCAGATGCCCTTATCGTCATCAGGGCGCGTAATATTCTACCGCTTTTGCTTCCGATGCCAGCTAGTAGAAAGTATCACGAAAGGCTGAAGATTGGAAACGAAAACCCCAAAGGTTACAGCTGCAAGAACTTGAACAGTGCTCACTGAGTGAGTGAGAACACTTGCCACTGCAACTGCATGTCGGGAAACCGGCAACTGGGCTGTAGGGCCATCAGTTGGCTTTCGGATGTGACATATGGGGAGGGGGAGAAAACAGGGGGCGACCAACCCAAACAAAGGAAAACGCCCCAAAAATTATTTCTTTTTCAATCCGGCAGTACTGGAAGTTACTCGAGTGGGTTAACGTGGTAACCGAAGGCCCACACGGTTGGGGGCTAAAATATCCCGGGCCGTGGGTAGTGGGTAATTGGTAGATTTGTGGATTGGTGTTCAATGCCTGACTGGCATAACCTAACAATATTGTACAGTATTACAAGCAGCGTAGACAAGCGGTTGACTTGGGTGCAGTGTAGGAACAGCTTAGACCGGACTGCATAGCTGTGCTCTTGGTGCCTGTAGGAAGGAAGGGAATGTTTCCAATATCATGATTCATGGAATAAACAAAAAAAGGCATATACGGCATTAGGGATTTTTGCTTCCACATTTTCTCCATTTGGTTTGGCCTCTGACACCATCTGACACCCTCATCTGAATCTTTCAACCTACGGCCAAGTACTTTCTGTTGATTTGCTAGCCTTTTCCCTTTTGTTGAGGTTGAATTCTATTCCCATGATTCTCAACGGCACCTAGCCAACTGTATTACTCATGGCGATGCCGGTAGGAGCAACGGTCCGTCCCGGTAGACTACTGAACAATGGTGATATACCGAACCGTTTCACACCTATTATACCTAACTAGCTTGCTAGGTAGCCACGGTTGCCGAATCGATGATTCCCGGCATATATCGCACACATGCTGTGGCCAAGAGGAGAGGCGCTTGTGGATGTGAAGCCGCTTCTTGTAGTTGAAGTGCCGGGAGGAGAACTACAACACACTGGATGGAACGCTGCTCATTCCTCAGGTGGTTTACAAGTTACTTAAGTGTAGTGAAGTTCGAAGCAGCATGTGGGGAGTGGGTGGTGTGGGGTGATCGTTAGATTTTGAGCACGAAGTGTGGACTGTTTAATGAAGAAGGAAAGGGAGGGTTTCTATGGAATAAACCTTAATCATCTAATACACCCCATAGTATCATATGTATAATATTATGATAACTATTACCTTTCCAAGGCTCTATTTTTACTTTTCACCGTTGAGAGTAGTGGAAATAGTAAGATACTGTGTTGGCACTAATGGTTAGAACAGGACTAGGACAGGCGGAGTGTCCGTTTTGTTTTCCTTCCTTTATATTTTCATTTCTCTCTTTCTTACCCTCCGTCCTAGCTACGGCATGTTATCATATGATACCTGATGTGTAGTCGCCGATAGCGACATTCTCCCTGTTCTGGTTACGGTTCTTCGGAGCTACGGGGGTTAGGGTTAGAGGAATAGCATGGCGCCTGTCGTACAATGTGTTAGTGGCTCCTTCCCGGGGGTGAGATTTTGCGTGGGTAATAAACTGGGTCGGCTATACCGAATAATAATTACTTCTTAGTGCCAAGTCATTTTCGCTATATTTAGATACTTTTATGAATTGACGAGTAGGCCTGGTAGGCCCACGAGCTACTTGAATACACTCGAGAGCTAGTATAGTGGTGGTGTGTGTCCCGCATGTTATTTGTGGGTTGACACTAATTTTCTCACTTCCGACCCCCCAGGAATTCCGTTGATCATGGGGGTGGGATACATCAAGATAAGAAATACTAACATTGAAACCGCTCATTGAGTACCCCTGTTTGTGCAGGGTAAACTGCACCAGGGCGAAAACTACAGGGGAGCCACCCCCGAGAGCGTGGTCCCTCTCGTTCAGGTTGTCTTAGTGGGCAAGGTTATTGGTTGATTTGTTCACACAATCCCAGATGGCTTCCCACGATGGTGGAGCCTATGGTGTGATGGCGTGATGGCGCATCCTAACCCTAGCCCCAGATGGTTATGATTTCCCCTGGAAGCGCAGCCTAGGAGTATGTGGTGGTAACGGTGAGTATATATTTCCTATTCCTAGCTTCCTCCCTCCTCCTCCCTCCTCGTGTCGCCTCTTTACCTCTTGTGTCCCCCTCGTTATCCTCTGCTGGTGGAGAGCTGGTTGCCTGTAACCCCCCCGATTGGCCACAATCACGAACCCTAACCCTAACCCTCAGTAGGAGAAAGGGAAACGAAAAGGTATCATACACTCAAGCCTCCCCCTTTTTGCAATTCAAACTAAAGACACTACATAGTGTTTAAAAACCGCTAGCAATAAAATGGGAAACCTCTGCTCCCGCGGCGAGTCAATTCGAGAGATGCGGACCGAAATCGAGGAACTACGGAAGGACATAGAAAGGATGGCGAGGGATAGAGAGGTTCGGGAGGTGCAGGCTAGGGATGGAAGAGCTACTGCTCGGGGTGGTGGCAGCAGCAGTGGGATATGCCATCAAGCACCAATAGCAACAAGGATGAGCTGGCCAGTTGGGAGCTTCAGAAGCATCGAGGAGTCTAGGGCAGCTGAGGAATTTGTGGCTAGGGTAAGGAGGTCAAGGAATTACGGGAGGGACAGGAGTTGAAGATGTCACGCTACACAAGGGGATGGATGATTTCTTAGTGATGATTGATGACGTATTGGTTTGGCGGATGAAAAGTTTTTGGTGTAACCTAATCTAGTAAGCAGGAAATTTAGTCCTTAGGATCTTATTCTACTATCAAACATTAGTGATAACTTCTCTAAAGAAGTTTATTATCCCCTAAACTCTGTTTACATGACACCTGTCCCTCTAAAATCGGGGACGATGGAGAAAGCGAACCCGTTACTTACGCCTTGTCCACACTAGTTGATTTTTCCCAAGTGACCTGTTTTATTAGGCTTTCGCCTTGGGGAAATTGCCACGATAGTCTGGTCGTATCATAGATACTCAGAAACCACTTTACTACCTTCATTATTTGAAAATTTCGCCTGTTTCACAGGTTTATCGTATTGGTGGCGGGTGGGCTGCGGAGGCCAGTTCCCGTTCCTGCCATTTTCTACCTCAATATCTCGGCGCTGGGCCAGAATAGTGGCTTCAGATGAAGGTCAACTATACCCCATTTTGTTCACTATTAGTATCAAACAGGTGTCTCCAAATGTAGCATAAAACCGAAGCCCAATAAATTATTGCTAATGACTCTTCGAGGCCCAGGATGGTGTTCCAGTCGGGTGGTAAGCTCGTGGGGAGACCAATTTAAAACATATAATACGTGTACATCTAAATGACTGAGCAACCAACCACGTAGGTTAAAGCGCAAATAATATCATGAGCATAATTGCATAAGCTTATGCGCCGATGGTCCAAAAACTAGAGAAAATATAACGTAGAACCTGGCTCGACTGCTCCGCCAGCGTCCCACAGACCACTTCTGTCTACCTAATGCCGTCGCATAACTTTGCTTCCCACTCCTAGGCCCAGCGACCCCCCTCCCTTGATAGCCGTCATATTGGAGCTCTCACCACCAGAACATACCTCTCCCTACCTTCCGCTTCCGGTCCACTGGCAGCACGTCACCGAGCCATTGCAGACACTATGCAAATCTTTTGTACCATCCTGAGCAGTAATCTGTGGGTAGTTATTGGCCTATTTTAGAGCCATATCGCCCTTACATCACCCTCTAAGCATCCCGCAAATTCCCCAAAATATCGCACGATCGAACTCGCGGGCAGAGTGGATGGAGATTATGAGAGTGTGGGAAATATTGAACCTGCAACCGGTGCAGGCGATGCCAATCTCTGTGTCCAAGCCTTCAACCACTGGTACTAATAATCTATGTGAAAAGCCTTGGTCTGGCATTCTCTCTTCGGAGGCCAGACAAATAGGCAAGCAAGTGGTGTATGATGCCCCATCTCTGTTTAAGGAACTCTTGTCCATTTTATACGCAATCCTTGACATAGCCATAAGTGCATCAAAGATTCAATCTTATGCTCCTCTTGCAGGTATCCAAACCTGCTCATACCAGACCCTCCGGGACAAACGCTGTGTCATTTTGGCATATCCCTGGATAAGCCGGATAACAAGATCCCCCCAGTTCAGAAACTTTGCGGGACTGACTGGCTGTATAAGTACTTAGTCCCAACTTTTTGCTCCACTATCCGCAAATTTACCAGAGCTTTCCCCCAAATTCTCTTTTGAAGTGAAGTAGCTCTCTAATCCCCAGACCCGACATACGAGACTCCTAAACCAGATTGCCGATCTTGCACGACGGTCGGCCTTTACCAAAAACCTCCACTGATTTTCGATTTCCTGGTGCAGGATCCAAAGTGCTTCTCCCAACAGATTGACATATTTCTCTATGGGAAGGAGTGAATGTCCCTTTGGGATTTCCATGACAAAATCATAATAATAGTCTGCGATTCTCCTGGTGGTGGTGGCATTTAACCTATTTTCAACAACAAGCTTTACGGCAGCGATTTGGACAATGTTGACTCAACTTGAATGGCAGGGCAAAGATGTAAAGATGAATTTCAATATCCTAACCGGAGAAATATTCTCACGAAGAAAACGATAGGGAATAAAAAACGGGAAAGACTGATATGACCCAAACAAAGATAATGGAGGAAAGAGAGACAGATTGGATGATGAACGAAAACAACTAACAAAGGGAAAACAAGCTGCCTTTTATCCTTCCCTGGATCAAGCCGATCCACTGCCACATACTTCTAGCGTATGCTATGTTCTCCATCAAGTTCAATTTCACTATTGCCCATTGTACTACTTCCGCCGCGGATAAGTGAATTCGACCGAGGGTATGTTCTGACCGAGGACATTCGGTATTTCCATATGATAGGGGTAACGCCCTAACATGGAGTCGTCGCAGGTATCGTCGCAGATGTTGTCGCATATGGTGTTTGATGTGTAGGACTAACCAGTAGTCAAACATAGAGGCGTCGGAGTAGTTGATATGCCAAGAGGGTTAGGGTTGTAAAGTCGTTGCCATAGGGGAAATATGCGGTGAGCAGCCAAGAAACACTTCTGTCCAACAACCTAGACTCTCGTCCAGATATTCGGTTCTTTTCTGGGATATCTTCCTCGTGGCCTTTAGTCAGCATTGTGGGTAGCCGGTATCTCTGAGGTATAGTTGCAGGCCTCTTCGATTACTGTAATTGTCCGGTGTAAACTCCAAGCTGATATTTTGAGGTTAAACCAACACATTATGCGGGTGAGCACGTATTATCACAACCTCAAACCAGCAACATTAAGGGTTCTGGGTGCCCCATGCGCGGCATCTCGGGTTATACGGAAAGAACATTTATCTTTTGAAAGACTTCCGCATAGGCTGTTACAGCGGACCCATACATTTCCTTAACCACCAGAAACTCTTGCAAAATCATCCGCAGCGTCTCTCAATTCCCGCCAGTCATGTGTAGAAAACCGTTGGATTCGCAAAGTTTAAAGACCCAGATGAACCTTTGCGCGTCCAAGTAGTAAGTGTGCAAGGGCGCATCCGGGTAAGCCAATGACAATGAAATCGAGCTTCTCCAGCTCTGCATTAAAACCCGGTGGGGTCGATGTACTTGCTAAGTCAAAAAGTGTCTGGATAGGTAGCACATCAATGTTACTTAATATCCGTTTAGAAGTCAATGGGGTGTCCGGACACTTTTGCACCTGATGAGTAAGTACCTTATCCTGATAGTGATCATTGTTAGAGGCGGGGAGCTCAGGAATTCTAATTTCGCATGAAAGGTTGAGATGTGAAAACGGAAGGGGATTTCAGATGATCAAGAGAGTCTGGGTCCGGAACCATAGGTATACTTTGAAGGCAACAAGGGGGCGGAGTGATGTGGCGGTGGTGGTAAAATTTATGGTAGTAGTAGAACTTTGGCTAAGGGTAAAGATAGGGGGAAAATCTAGTCGAGGTAGAAGGAGAAGAGAGAGAAAGAGATGAAGGAGGCAAGTAGATGTCACTCACAAACTTAACAAAATATTTAGCACAAGAAACTGTAATGCATTATAGTTGTAATTTATCCTGTGGTGTCAATCTATTATGATACACTATCCAAATGTATATCCTCAATACCTCCCCTTTCTAAAATAGCTTTTACGGTCGCCTCGCTGTGAGAAGATCGGTTTTTTGAGAATCCCATAGTAACTTATCCCTTCTCTTCCCCCCTCCTCCACCCTACACCACTCTCTTACCCCAACCCTTCAAAGCTTTCTGTAGACTGTGGCGGCGCAGGATCAATAGAGTTTTTTTACAAATCACCGAGGTTTGTTTCCTACCATGCTTGCCCAAGGTGTAATACTAGGTTACGAAAGGTAAAAATGGTCTAAATAAAACGTCCTCTAATAAAGCGTAGAGCGCATCATGCGAATTAGACCTTAGCTCCGAACATTCTCGGCAATCACCACCAATAAACACCCACAAAGAGTCGTTTGCGATCGCTTTCTCACCACGTCACGAATAATCACTCGCATTATTCCCCCAACTGGGCTTTACTATTTATCACAGAAAAAGACTTTCTGCTCGCAGTGCTCGACATGGTTGCCGGAGTGGCTCGGACACAATGCCGCGAGCGTTGCGACTAATAACTCTGGCTAGGTAATTGTAGGGTAATAGTCAACCCCCCGAAAAAAAGAAGACAAAAACAGCAACTAGGGAACAAAATTAATAAGAGTGAAATAACAGACAATAGCTGGCATGAATAATTAGGTAAAGCATGTGCTGAAAGCCATAGGGTTATGATAGGAGAAATAATAGGGAATAAATTTGGGTATGATATCATACAAGGAAATTCGGACCAATGTTGATGGTTGAACACAGTAGCGGTGAATGATCCTTGCGCGACTCTTCTACGAGTACTGTACATGCCAGAGTGAACCCCTTCAACACCACACTCTTGGCGAAAAAAAACTTCCAGATTCCGCTGACTAAGAAACATAATTGCCTCGTTTTGACCTCACTTAAAACTGGTAAATTCTGTTTTCCGCTGATTTGTCGGGCCAAGAGTCCCCAATAAATTGGTGGAGAAAATTTAGAAAAACCAGCAGGTCACAAGTAATTCTGGATTTTTTTTTACCAGATTTCTCACAACATTTTTGCATAGTTGGAGAAGTAGAAGGATTGGAGGAAGTGTGTGCTCAAGTAAAGAATATTTTGTTGATCACTGTAGTGTGGAACCTTATTTAAAAGGTTTTCCTATCCCGCGAGTTGAAAAAACTTGCGTATTGTTTGTTATTCAATCGCTTTCAATTCATGATGAAGCGACCGCCGACCCGGCCTACGCGCTGCGCGAAACAGTGATAACCCGGCGAATCGAACCGGGACTGTATTGTTGCTACTCGTGCCAAGGTTGTGACATGTCGTCGCGACCCGTTGCTCGTTTTCTCGCAAGCGAGGGCATTCATACTGAGTGCCCGACAATTCAACGTGAGTGGACAGTTCAACCTGAGTTTGTGGCTCAGAATAGGAAAATTGAATCTTGGGTTACAACACAGTTACTCAGACACAGTTTGCTGTAGTCCAAGCACTAAAATAAGCAAGTTATATATATTTATCAATATGTACCTAGTATGATACAGTACATCATTAGATAAGGCATCTCAGCTATTCACCTCTTCAGGAGGGCACTTGGTTGATGACTGTTTATTAGATGTTGTATCAAGTGAAGGTTCCAGACCACAGGCCACAAGTTACCATTGAGCCACAAACTCACGTTGAACTGTCGGGCACTCAGTATGA